CCAATTTAGGTCTTTCAGCCTTTTAGTAGATAGCTCCCTGATACCGTGGGAATTAGGGAGTTATCTACTAAACGGCTGCAAGATGCAGCCACAGCAATGAATAGGATCAGAGTTTCATTCATTAGAATGAAATTCTGATCCGAATAAAGTGCCGAATTGCGTTCTAAAAGAAACGAACAGACTGTTGTCATTCAGTTAGAACGCAATTCGGCAGTTTAGTGTAAAGTGACAGGAAGCATTGTGGGAACACTGAGGAAAGCTAGGGATCATGGGAAAATTGCTCTGACCAACGGAAATGAAGCACACTTTGCTCCTCCGCTGGTCAGAGCTGGTCAAGCGGAGGAATCCTCCATAAGGCAAAGAGTCCTTACTTTGTCTTATGATTTTAAAGAAAACTAAAGAAGACAGGAAGAAAAGAATAACAGATCCTGAGAGAGGGGGAGAAGAGGAAGAGATTGAGGAAAGGTAAGTTCGGCATGACAGTGCCGCTTTAATTTAATTCCTTCTTCTAAAACAATTCCCTCTTGAATTATTTAAATTTTAATATAAGTATTAGTTTCATGTAATACATACCAAATATTATTACTTTTTTACAGTGTTTCCTATACAAAGTTTTTAAGATGTCTTTTTACAATTTTGGTATTATATACAAAAATCTTAAAATCTTAATCTCTCATCTTCAATTATTATTATTATTATTATTATTATTTTTTTACATTTTTATCCTATTTTTTTTTACTGGTGTTCCTATATCTCTCTCTCCTAAAATGTATTTTTTGTGATTATGGTTTAAATAAAATATCAACCTATATTATAAATACTTATTTTATTATATTCAAGTGTATATTCTATATATTTAATGTTTTTTTCCCTTTGTTCCCTTTTTTCCTATAAATTGCTGAAGCCTTAAAGAATCTTCGTTGGGGTGGTGCCATCCCCAGCAAATTGGCACTCTGCCTATTACCCTTAGAGCCAAGAATTGAAGACTCTAAAAATGGTGAGCTTAATACGTACCATATGGCTTTTAAGTATATAAGTCTATAATACCACCCACTGGTCGCTTCTCTTCTTATATCCCCTTTGGAGGAGATGTCACAGTGCAAGTGGTGTGTTGCTGCCCTAAGAGCAAAGAGGTTTATTTTACGGAGCCAGTATCTTATAGGCTCCGGAACATGTCAGTGGTTCAAGCTTTTTCTACACAATTGATTGCAATTTTTAGACTACCTACACTATTTTTTGGGGGGTAAGTTAAAGGAACCCCTGCACAAGTCAGATTTGTATAGCCCTCCACTAAAAGGTATTTTTATACCATAATTTGGCTGTTTTAATTTACTGTGGATTAAAGGGTATTCCACATTAGGTGCTGAGCTGCTTATCACTAAGGCACATTATTGGATCACATACTACCCCCCAGTAGGGGTAGATCTTAATTAAGGAACCTTGCAATCTCCGAAGGGAATGAACGATACGTGCCCTCCTCCTCTCACATATTATATAGCTTGGAATAGAATGTTGCAAAAGCAGAAGCAATAGTAGCATGGTTAAAAAAAATGTCCTATATTGTCTAGTATGTAGGCAATCTTAGATTAACTTTGTTTACTTTACGCTGCCTATCTAGAAATGCTCCCGCCCAGTTACTTTGGGTAAAGACGAGGATCTGAGGATGTAACCCATCAGTTGGGCATAGTGAAAACACTGTTTTAGATTATTCAAATGAG